ACTGCACCAGCCTCCGGCCACCTCCGGCTCTGGCTCCGCACCAGGCTTTTTGGGACAGGACCGGGCTGGTGCCTGCCTGCTGGGGCAGTAAGAGACGCCCGATGGAGAATCTCTTCCCAAAGGAAAGGGGGAAGCTGCATCTCAACACCGGCGTCCGCTCAGGAGGGGAAAATTTGCCAGCGATAGCCGGGCACATCTCATTTACCTCGCCTGGGCTGCAGCTGGACTTGCAAGAGCTCGTAGATTTTGCCACAACCCTGCTACCGGGGACGCACCCCCACCATCCACCTCCGCTGTCAGCCGTCGTGGAATTAAACTATAGTAACGCTCACTCAGAGATCAAAACCCCACATCCTGAAAGGTGGCTGAGCCGGAACCAAATGAGATCGGTCCGACAAGTGGAAGAGGAGCCTATTCCACCTGCTCACCTCCTCCGCCTCTCCCGATAAAACAGCTGTGTATCCTGGGATGCTGAGCTGTCAGAAGATTCACAACCTGCCCTGCGTTTATTTGCTCCTCTCTTCTCTCAGCCTAACGGAAACAATGCAGTCAAAGGAAACCTGTGCTGAGTGTAGAGAGACACTAAGGTTTGTCACCTGCTGTAAGGAGCCAGGACCACTGATTACCAAGATGCAAGTACCCAAGTGAAAATTAATTATGATTTCCATTCACAGCCAATGACAGCATATTATTGCACTGAACAACAGGAAAAATTATTCTCTCCCATTTTGCATCAAAGAGGGTGCAATCGGGCTGCATATAATTGTGCTTAATGAATGAAAACAAACAAAGGGAACAGCTGCGATTTATTAATCCCATTACAAATAATAAAAGAAGTTCCTGAGAGCTGTGAACACACTTGTGATGCTCAGAGAGCGGTTGACAGCAAGACACTCAACAGATGTCAGGCTGCTGTTAGCAGGCAAGAAGAGGACCTGTGACCCTAAAGAGCAGCTCATCCATGCCAAACGGTTCCCTCCCTGCTCCTGCCCTCGCCCAGGGCTTGGAGGGTTTATTTAAGGCTTGGGGGACTTTTAGCCTGGAGGAAGCGAGCACCTGATGATGGCTACCCTGCAGCGGATCTAGATCCTCCAAACCGCTCCGCTTCCGTCCTCACAGTAGCCACAGAGCTGTTGTACAAAATGTAAAAGCCCCAAAACCCTTCATGGCCAACTCATCACACAGAGCTATGGGGGTCTCTTGGACGTGCTACCCGTCTGGGGAGCAGCACAGAGGTGCCACCAGCATGGTCACCAGCACAGTGACCACCACGCAGCCCCTTCCAAGCACCAGGGTTTCCTCCCATCCCTGTAGGCAAGCCAGGCCCTCCCTCCTCCTCGCTCCTGCGAAGCACCCAGCACCCTGAGGATTTTGGCCACGACAGTCCCAGTGCTGACCTTAGACCCAGGGGCCAGGTCTGCTGACCTAAATTCACACCTCAAAGAGGCACTGGGAGCTGCCTCTCTGGATTGCTGCAGGGTACGACGGGGACCCCGTTCCCTCTCCCTGCGGGGGCAAGAGGCTGGCTCTCCTGGCTCTCTCCGAGCAAGATGTTCTGGCACTCTGTCATCTAAATAAGCCACCGTTCAAACACAGACATCAGTCTGCTTTATTGGGACAATAAAACCTATACTATCATGTTATATGTATAGATCATTATTTTACTGTAGTTAGTATTTTTTATGTTTTTTTATATTTGAGCGGTGCTTTATGAAGTTAATCTGCATAAATTTCAACAGAGGAGTTTTTAACCATTCTTACTGATGTTCACAAAGCAAGCACTGAGGAGGCCACCCCATCCTCCAGCATCCCCAGGAATCGGAGCCAGACGCCGCGGCGCTGGGTCAGTGGCGGCGGGTGCAGGGGGCCCCCAGCGAGAAAACCCTG